ATCTCTGCAATTCCATCATGGCAGGGGGATCTCGACCCAGAATACTTCTTGACACACAAGTTGACAGACAAAAGCGATGTTTATAGCCTCGGAGTGGTGTTCATGGAGCTACTTACGGGTATGCACGCGATAACACACGGAAAAAACATTGTTAGAGAGGTATGTATGTTGTAAGTCCTGAAGCTGAACGCATAAAGAAAACTTGAGGAAATCATGGATTTGAGAATATTTTTCTGGTGATCGTCAAGGTGAAAGCAGCGCATCAGACGGGTAGGATCGTGTCGTGGGTAGACAAGAGGATGGGTACGTGCTCGTTAGAATGCGTAGAGAAGTTTGCTGCTTTGGCTCTGAGGTGTTGCCACGATGCGCCGGAAATGCGGCCAACAATGTCCGGGGTGGTGAAGGAGCTTGAGAGCGTGCTTCTAGCAATGCCCGCGACTGAACCCAGAGTCTTGTCTTCTGAGACGGAGTCGTCAGGATCTTCTTCCTCCGCCAATGTCACGTGCGAGTCCTCGAGCCTCTTGGGAAGCGACCTTAGCAGCGGTGTTATTCCCAGCATCACGCCTCGCTGACCCAGCTGGAAGCGTTTTCCTTTAGCTCTTTGTAAGAACAATGACCAGTTTTCAGTTTCTGTTTCTGTTTGGGCTCGAACCAGGTCAACTGAAAGTGACATGTAAAATAATAATCGAAGGCGGTTTTTGGGGAGGGAGAGGAGCGTTGAAAAGCGAAAACGACGTGCCCCCCGCAATAGTCCTTCGACCTGTAATTATGAAAAAAAGGTTTTCAATAGATTTATCCGCTCGACATCGAGAAGGGATCAGCAGCAGAAGCTTCGCGCCCCCTCTTTTCTTCTCTCTTCCTTGGAAACATCTTTCCTTTTCCCGTCTTCCACCGGTTTTTCTTCTGCGGGTAAGTCCTTCTCCATTGATGGATTCCATCGACTGGACGGTCCTAAATCAGAATGCTTGAGAGAATTGTAAATGCGTTCCTGAATTCAGCCAAATTTTTATGGAAATATAAATCAAAAATTGCATTTTCCTGTTTTCAATCATCTGATGTTCTGATGTGGATGATGCCCTTGTCGAATCTATATCCGTTATAATATGAGTGAATCTGGATTCTGGACAATGCATTAGCGATATTCTCGTGACGTTGACTTGTGGTTCAAGGGCTTCCAAGGGATTTTCTTGATCCTTGGGAGACTCGGAGGCTTTTTCACTGGATCAGGATTATCTTCTTCTCATCTTGTGATTTGCTGAATTGAGATCTGTTTTCTTCTGCTCTATTTTACAGGCAAAATTATGTGATTTGGCTGTTGACCGTGGCAAAGAGATCGTCTTGCTGATGCATTTTGTCCTGGGAGCTTCTGCACCTTTCGTTTTCCTTTGAACTGGGGGACATTATTGCCTCAGGTCTCTTCCAAGTGTTAAAAATTGCTCCAAGATTTGTCAGTGTCGAAATGACGAAGTTGGGTTGCAAACACCTGCTGCTGCTGCTTCCATTCTTCTTTGTTGCATTTCTTGGGATTATTGATGCAAGTCCTCATATGGACACCTCACATAAATCTAGATTCGCTCCGCATGAAAACATGAGATATAATGTTATAGACGGCAGTGGTGTAGAGAAAGCCATACAGGACATCGGGCTGGGCGAGAAGAGAGGCAACCACAACAAAGTTTCAGTCTCGACTGTAGCATTGTTCACCTTGGCAATGGCCGCGGCCACTGGGTTAGGTGCAGTGCCCTTCTTCTTTGTCGAGCTTGATCCTCAATGGGCTGGCATATGCAACGGAATGGCTGCTGGCGTGATGTTGGCTGCGAGCTTTGACCTTGTGAAGGAGGGACAAGAGCATGGCGCCGGCAATTGGGTCGTTACTGGGATTCTAGCTGGTGGCATGTTCATCTGGCTCTGCAAGAGGGTAACTTGAAACTGCATCTTTGGTTCTCTATTTTCAAAATGCACTTTTCTTCTCCAAATAGAGCTTGAGATTTGAAAGTTCAAACTCAGTACCAACAAATCTTGTCTTTCTAAAGTTTCCTTTTAAATCAGCTTCAGAGTTGAATGACATTTTAGTAGTGCCTTATCTTTTTGTGGTACCCTCTTATATTAGCTGCAGAATTGCTTGACATTCCGAAGTTCAAACTGAAGAAAATTGTTAATTTCCTGTCTTTCTGCAGTTTCCTCTTACATTAGCAGCTGAGGCGCATGGAATTTCAGAACTTGAAAACTCACCCTATCAATGAACCCATTTCAGTCTATGGTTGTCTTTTAAATTAGCTGTATAGTTGTATGGCGTCTCAAAGCTTAAACTCACGGTATCAATAAACCATGTCGTTCTGTGCAGTTTCTTGAACATTATGGTGAAGTTAGTATGCTGGACATAAAAGGTGCAGATGCCGCGAAAGTTGTTCTCGTAATAGGAATTATGACTCTTCACTCTTTCGGGGAGGGATCAGGTGTCGGTGTGTCCTTTGCTGGTTCAAAGGGTTTTACTCAAGGGCTTTTGGTCACTTTGGCCATAGCTGTTCACAACATACCGGAAGGGTTGGCTGTCAGTATGGTGCTTTCATCACGGGGTGTCTCGCCACATAATGCAATGCTCTGGAGTATAATAACATCCTTACCTCAGGTAATGGGTGATATGATGTTATTGGATCTAATTGGCAGTTTCTAGCAATTCTTGCAGTTTTGCTGATTCTTTTACTCTCTATGATCCTTGTACAGCCCATCGTCGCAGTGCCAGCTTTTATGTGCGCGGATGCATTTAGCAAGTTTTTACCTTTCTGCACCGGCTTTGCTGCTGGATGCATGATCTGGATGGTTATTGCTGAAGTGCTCCCAGATGCATTCAAGGTTACTTTACTGCTCTGGCTATGAACTTATCATGGTGAAACTTCATGTTTGAGGATCTTTCAGTTAAACCAGGTATAGCATCAGTTTCATCCATTTGGATTTGACACCTGACTTTCGGTTCCATTCGATTTCCACTATAGGAAGCATCCCCATCGCATGTGGCATCGGCAGCCACACTCTCTGTAGCATCAATGGAATGTCTAAGCACTCTTTTTGAGAATTTCACACATGACTACAAGTAAGACACCTCATAATTTATGGGAAATTAAGTCACTGCATTTGATTGGTTTACAAATCCAGTTTTTGCCGTACATCTAAGGCTCCATTCTCTCCATTGCAGCTCAGAAGATGCTTCCGGCTTCTTTGTGTCACTCCTTTTTGGCCTTGGACCATTGATTGGGGGTGTTGTTATGGTTGCACTGGCTCTTGCCTTCCGTCTCCAGCATGCCCTTCTCATGGGTATAGCGTCAGGCATTGCCTTCACCCTTGGCCTCTGGCGGCCGCTCCAACTGCTACTATCCGCGAAAATGGCAATCTTCTCTCTAGTTAGTCTTCTAGCAACAGGAGCTGGACTTTTCCATTTCGCAAGTTCAACAATTCTAAATCTAACATGCCACAAAAAGACCCGGGTCAGCAGCTTAAATGGTGTAACCGGATTTCCAGCCAGTGTTCTCACCCTCCAGTCAATCTTGGCATGCGCCGCAGCCGCCTTCCATGCACTAGCCGAGGGGCTGACGCTGGGTGTTGCTGCTCCAAAGGCTTATGGACTCGGGAGGCATATGGTCCTTCCCGTTTCTCTACACGGCTTCCCAAGAGGGATGGCCGTGGCTAGTTGCATTTTTGGTGCTACAGAGAGTTGGCATGCAGCCCTCTCGACAGCTGCTTTGATCGGATTTGTGGGTCCCGTGTCTGCCATTGGATCCATACTTGCTGGCATTGATTATAGTGGACTAGATCACATAATGGTGTTGGCGTGCGGAGGATTACTGCCGAGCTTTGGCCGAGTGCTGAGGAGAGCAATGAGGTTAGACACTAGGAAAAGCAGTGTGGGTCTGTCTCTGGGAGTGGCATCTGCCGTCCTTTGTCTGACTTTCACCAGACTGGTCTGCTTGCACACTCCCTACTGCAATTCTGCTCCAGAGGCTGTCAGATGATTTTCAGAACCGGTGTTCTTGCAAGAAAATCCATCTTTGTTATCTGTATCGATTCGGGCTTCCAAGTTGTATTACTCAGTTTTGCTTCTATGGATTAAACACGGTTAGGATGATTGTGGATGGAACATATTTGATCAGACGATTGATATAATATCCGATTTGTGAACTCATCATATTCAGATGTAGCAAAGCAAATGAAATCGGACGACCCTGATTGCGCAACACACAAGCGAACGGAGCAATGACAGGGCAGTGCCTTTGTTCATGTATGTATTATTGAACTGAAAGCTCTCGATCACACATCAGATGCAAAACCAGTCTCAGGATAGGTATGAACAAGGAAAACATAGATTAAAGACTGACACAGGGAGCCAGAGGAGTGGATAACAATTGGGATCAATTGTGCTGGCTCCCCTCGAGCAATCTCTCCTTCTCAGCCATCTGAGTAACCTTGCTCTTCTCCTCCACGGCCTGGGATCCTGTCAACCTGGCCAAAACAACAAAAGACATGCCTCCAAGAACATTGTTCAAACACCTTAGAACCACCACAGACGTCTTGAACACCACAGGCGGTAGACCCTTCGCCAGCACAAACTCAACTCCGTTCAAAGTCTGGTACCTCAGGTTGCTGCTGGCGCCCATGTGAACGGCCCACGTCATGGCGTTCAGCAGCGGCGGGGGTGCCTTGTTAGGCGTCTCAAAGTTGGGGTCCATTTTCTTCCTCATCATGATCAACCCATTTGAGAGGGCAGTCCCAACCAGACCAGCAGCCATCCCCACCGCTGCAAACACCACCCCTTTGTAAACCAAGGTGCCAAAGCGGTTGACAAGGCTGAAATTGCCCGGTTCAAACATGTGGCTGGTGGGGCAGCTTGCAAAGATTCCAGGCAGCGCTTGGGAGGCTGCGGATACCGACGCCGTTGGAGCCAAAAGGTACATCAGGGTAAAGTTCATAATGGAGCCCACGACGAGGGTTGAGAACACAAAGTCCAGCTCGTTGAGGCCAAAGTTCGGGCGAGATGCCATATCACCGAGGACACAAGCACTAACGCCCACCAGCTCCTCCATTAGAACCTTGAAAGGGAACTGAGGATCGGCAGGCACTCGTGATCGCCACCCTTCGATGAAGAAGCCGAACAGCCCCCATGAAGACCCTCCAGAATCTCCATGGTTGTCCCATCTTCCACTGTCCCCGCCGTTTCCACCGCCATTTCCCGGGAAACCCCCATTTCCACCACCTCCGGCGCATGAAAGCTGGAAGCTTGATGGAGAAGAAGGGCTGGAGAGGTTGGTGTGGAGTGAACATGCAGATCCACTTCGAGGGAGCGACACAGAAACCGTCAGATAGCTTTCCCGGCGGTTTACTCTCGGCAGTGGCACGCTGCTCTCCTTGGGTTTTGCCGAAAAGTGAAGCCGTGCCATAGCCGCCATTTTTCTCGACACAAAGTTGTGAGTCACTGGGAAACAGTGAATCTAGAAAAAAGAAGAGAAAAGTTGCTGTCGTTGCCGAGAATCTGAAACTACATATCGGGGGCAGAAACGTACCTGAGAAGGACGAGCAAAAGGCGGAGCGATCTGCAGACCCAGACCCAATGCCCCTAGTGAATAATAAGACAACCAGATCTAACATTTGTCGCAAACTCGCCAGGGTTTATAAAGAAGGATGAAAACGAAAAGTAACTATCAAGATGCTAAGTTAAAGTTGGACTGGAAAGGCCCATTTATTTCCCACGTGCAAAGCAGACAGCCGAGACGCCGCCACGTGCTGTTAGAACGCCAACAACAAAATCCAACACGTTCTTACGCCTTTGCATCAAACCCTATTCGGAAACTGCTTCCACATGGTTTCAGTTTGATCTCACCTCAACCACAACGAGAATCTAAAACACTGGTGGCTAATTTTAGTATTAAAATGCAGAGTGTGATTTTACATACACAGCCGACCAAGGATCCCATATCCATGGCGGCCTTCATCTCTGTATACATTTCCACGCCCCTCCAGAACAAAAAAATAATCCAAAGAATGTATCTCTGTGGCTTAAAAATACATCAAACCTACACAAAAACATCTAACTATTTTTTTCAATTTTATTTTACGTTGTCTGCCTTGTATTCTCCCCCCTGAATAGAGGGAAAACATGAGAAACACAACCCAGCAGAAAAAGCTCACCGGCATGAACTGTTGGGCGACCCTTGTACTTTGTGCTGAATCGGTATGGATCATAATAAGAGGGTAGCACAGGAACCAACTCATATATATATGTGTACCCTCCCTCCTTACAGGTACATCAATCTCTTAGCGTCCCGTTTTAGGGCGTTTCATTGCATTTGAATTGAAAGGAGATACACTGCCACTGGGCCCTGGACTGTCTTCTCTCAAGTTTGAATTCAGTATCGCAAGTTCCCGCAGTTGCTGCCTCTTGATGTAGTCCTGTGGCTCATCCTGCATATAGAATTTGCCCATGTTATGTATCAAGATGTGATCTGCTGCTAGCTTGTGCTACAGACACATATGCCTATACTGATATTCCCATTTTTTTGTTAGACCAAACACTTCTTTGAGCAGAGATATTAAAGTGAAAGAAGGTTAGAGGACATACCACAGGCTTGAGCAACTCCTCGATAATTTCTTGTGCCTGCCGCAATCTAATATCCACAACATTGGCAGGAAGATCAGCCTCGATTAGGATGTGCAGCTGATCATTGAGATGCTCATAGCCTGGCTTCCCCCTTAGCTTCTCTTCCTACAACAAAGCGGCATGAACAAAACATGGGAGAGAAAAGAGAAACCAAGGAAATGTATGCATTCCTTACTTTGTCAGGATCCTTAATTGACCCTTTTCCTCTAATGTACACACGACAACCTGTAGTGGCTTCCACTCGCTTCAGAGAGTTGCCTCTAGGGCCCAGAAGCCTTCCAACAAAATTGAACTAAGCAAACATGAAAAGATTGTTATCACCCACCTGAAACCCCTTGTCTCAAATTGTGACAGCATAATAACCGAAAATCAAACAGACTAAAGGAAAAGAAATCAGTGTCAACCTACATTTGGATATGTTTCAACTGGAATATCCAAACGTAAGATGCGCTTCACCGTGTATGAACTTGGGCTGGCCGGTGCACCTTGCCACTCCATTGCCATTCCAGTTGGTCCACCTAATCTCTACAAGAAAGATAAATGTTCCACTTTCATGAGACTTGTGAATGTGCCAAAAGAAATTGGAAGCATCTTCCCAGCCTAGGTTAAGGCTTACTAGTTACTACTGATTTCGGATAGCAACCTCACATTAATCAGGTCATACAGTAGACTGAGTAGCTTGAAAAAATCTTGGAGGTCCCATATGATCTAATAAGTATCACCTAGGGAATGAAGAGTTACCGTTACATATATCTAAACGTGCCCAGCCTTGTGTAGCTGATAAACAATAAGACATTTCCGACCTAGACAACAAACTAGTTATAATGCATACACGGACCGGTAAGCTGCTGCTGATCTATAGGAGATGCGATATAGAAAAAAACAACTGCACAGATAGACAGGAGAACTAAAGCAGATTCAAAAAATAAGGGAGTCATCCATAAAGACACACATGCAAGTGGGTTTCAACTTTCAACCACAAATCCTCAGACAAAAACTTATTGTGTTTTATCAAAATCATCAAGGATGACAAATACATATTTTCTACAAAAAAAAAACAAAGCTTTGACACATAAAGTTTGAAAGGAATTGAGAGAGAGAAAGAAGACAGATAAAGGAAGAGGCTACCTCTGGTGGAAGGCCATTCCAACCACCTAACCCAGTACCAGGAACATGAGACATTATATTTGGTGAAGCCATTGGACTAGGACTTCGGTGCCGCAGTCTATCAAAATCGGTAAACCCTTGATTGGACATCATTCCAGAAACCCGAAATATCTCTGTATGAATTAAGAATGTCATAACACCAATCAATAAAGAGTAACAACCTCATGCTGGAGATGCAAAGAAGGAAACAAAAACACTCATGCATCTACAGTTATGATTTAAAGAAGGCATTAGGAAAGAGGTTATATCAGCTACAGAAGGTGAAAATACATAGCGGTCTCCTGCTCATAGAAACCGATGTTGCTTTACGACTACACTCGATTCTAAGTTCAAGACTGCCAGTACTGTAATTGAAAAGCCGGATACTTTACAACCAAAGCTAGATAAGGTACGTTTCTCCCTAAATCGTACCCAGCAAAGCCACGGAAACGCGAAGCTTATAGTTGACAAGGACAAAGGCACCACTTATACATTGATGATTATCCTGCTTCGTTTTTTGCAAGCCCGGCCTAATATTTAGCATGAAAAGCGTAGAAATACTGCCTGCTAGTTCGGCTTTATACAATGATGTGACCATATAGGGTAATTGGAGATGGAGTCGACAATTTCGACCGGTTGCAAGGGTTCTGCTGGACAAGATACCATCTTTAATACAGCCACCAGAACTTTACAGCATCAAGACCACAAACAATCGCCAGCTGCTAGCTTAAATTGAGACTAAATGTGGCGTAAGGAAAAGAAAAAGGATGACGATTGAGATGCAGCTGAAAGAATCAGAAACTTCAAGGTGATCTATGGAATCTAACTGCAGGCAGTTCAAGAAAAATCTAGATCCGGGTACAAAGAATCAAGGAGAAGTGACCTTGATTTAACAGTCGGCTGCATATGGGAAGCACCTGCATGAAAGGCCCGAGCTTTTGGTGCTCCGCTAACAACTCAGACAAGTAGGGGCTGTAAAAGACGAGCAAAACAAAGAGATAGATGAAGAAATGACCAAAATCCCACAAGGCGACCCAGTGAAATGGTCGAGTAGAAGTTGTAGAAGAAAGCAGCATAGAGTTGAAGAAGGGAAAAAACCTATCAACATCAGGGATGCTTCTAATCTGAGGAGAAGCTGCTCTTGCGGGTGAGAAGTTGGGATTATACAAGCCAGACATGGTGGGTATGCTCTGATGCTGTCAGCAAAATCAAAAAGAGAAGCAAAGAAAAGAGGTTACCCGGAAAAGGGGAGCGAGCAGATCGGGTGATGTGGTTGCAGAGAGAAAGGAAGATGCAACCATAGTCTTTTTGGTAATTGTAAGAGGAAGTAAAAAAAAGTTTTACCCCTTGTTTCATGCATAAAGCCAGACGCTTTGTGGGTTGTAAGGGATGTCAAAACGAGTCAACCTCGTGAACCGGTTTGAGGTTGGTTTTTTTTACCGAGTCGAATTAAGAATATCTGAATCCAAATAAAAATGGGTTGAGTGAGTCAATTCGCTACGAGCCGAGTCTAAATGAGCTAGCTCGGCTGGCTCCCGAGCTGACTCAGAAGGTGTAGTAAAAAAATTCTTACGTTGAAACTTGAAAGTGTTGATATTGTTGATACGATATTTTGATTTAGAGATAATTTTTTATATTTTCAGATCTGAAGATGGTTTTTTATAAATGGATTAGGATCTAATTGTACATGAATGGATTAGGATCTGAAAATGATTTTTTATATATGGATGGATTGTGATTTTATCTATTTGAAGATGATTTTTTGTATATGGATTGTGATTGTGAATATAAGTATAATTAGATGTATTGATATATTCTTTTTATGTTGATGTATCATTTGGATATGATTTTATATAATTTGTTATGATTTTGTTTAGGTATTTAGAAAAATATGAGCCTGTTCGGGAGCCGGCTCGCGAGCTAAGCGATTTGGGTTGAGCCAGGAATTTTCTGGCCCAAATAAAAATGGACTTATGGCTCGAAACAAGCTGATCGAGCTGGCTCGTTTGACATTCCTACTTATAATTGTATCATTATATAAGAAAGACAAAAAGGATGTTTAGCGTCTTTTTTACTAGTAGGATGCTTGGTGGGAAGGATAAACATATCCTAATAGTATTTATGCAACAACACTTTGTGTATAGTAAAAATATAATTACGTATTTTGTTATGGATGGTATCTAATAAACATTGGATATTTCGGTTAAGTAGAATCCGTGGATGAAAAAAAAAATCAAACGGAGTCAAATTTTAGGGATTGGATTCGAAGCAGATGTTTTGAAACTCGTTAAGAAAGGAAATTTGTATAAGAAACTGCGTAGGACGGTGAGTTTTCTCAGGTCCGCGATGCTGTCCTGATGTCGTTATCGTCCGGTCTATGGATTGAGAGGTGTTGCGGTGTCCGGTGTCCGACCCGAAGAGTTGTAGGATAGGGGTTTTCCATCGTAACTAAAAAAAAATTGCATAACAACAGTGCATTAATCATCCCGTATTTGATGTTCTAGTGATCGAGAGATGATAAAATTACTTCAAGATTCAATATTTGATTTCACTAGTAGAAGAGAGGAAATGTAATTAATTGCGTGAATAAAGATTGATTCTAAACCTAAATGATTGAGTAGAACTATAAAATCCAGTAAACCTCCTGCTACCAAACTCATAGTTGATTATTTATTTTCAGTAATCGTTCTATCGCAACTGATAATCGCTCTAGAATATTGGATGGATGATATTTGTAATCCAAATACCCGATTTAATAACATGGATTTTCACTTCCACTACCTTCCCATCCGTTTATACCAGGGGTGGGCGTTTCAGGAAACGATTTGAGTTTAGGACGGAAATGTATCGGTTCGGTTTTTGGTTTTATAAAAATATGTATCAATCGGTTTTTATATTATATTCGGTTTGGTTCGATTTCGCTACCGGTTTCCGGTTGTTATTTAAAAAAGATAGTTTTTCTGAAAAAAATTTGGTTTTTCAAAACTTTTTAAAGTTCAGTTCGGTTTTCTAGAAATAGTACCATTTAAAAATTTAAAAACGGTTAAAATGGGAAAAATACCGTTTTCGGCCCATCGATATTTCGTACAACCCTACCCCATTGTTACTTTGTAAATTATTATGTAATAGATTAATAATATACAAGGCCAGCGTAACAGTGGAATTGAGCCCATAAACGAATCAAGAGAATTGGTCCATTAGGCCCATATTCGGAAGGTGAAAACGGCAGCTTCTTCCCTCAGACAACGAGTGGATCGAGATCGGGAAATGGCGTTGGTGTGGCTTGAAGCGGCTCTGCCTCTCGGAATCATTGCCGGAATGTTATGCGTGATGGGAAATGCTCAGTACCACATTCACAAGGCTTATCATGGCCGGGTTTTCCCTTTTCCCTTCTTTTACTCCTAGGGTTTTTGAATTTGGTTTATCTGAATTCGATTATCGATGCAGCCGAAGCACATCGGTCACGACGAGTGGGATGTTGCCATGGAGAGACGTGACAAGAAGGTCTCCTCCTGATACCCTTCCTAGGTACCCCCTCTGTTTCTCTTTCCATGCTTTTTCTTTTAGGGTTCATTGCTCTGCTTCTGTGCGGTTTTCTCTCGTTCTACCTCCGGCTGCTGACATTCCAAGTTTGCTTTTCTGATCATCTCCTACATCTATTAGTCGGTTGCATCCTTTCTGTGTGCTTCATTTGCCATACCGGCGCTTGGAAATTGCACTTGCGAGTCTCTTTGGTCTCACTTTCGATAGCTAATAAGCCTTTCTATTGATTTTCTTAAGCATCAACCTAGCATAGCGGCTTGTGCCTTGTCCTTCCCCCCGTGAAGATTCTCGGGTTGCTTTTGTTTCTCCTCTGTCTAGGAATATTGAGGGCTTACGTGTGGGATCCTAAGCTATAGCTGCGCTACTGATTATTTTACGCAGCGTGCCTTGTTCATTGGAATTTGAATCTTTTACAACACTTTTTAACTCATCTTTCTGCTGTTGCTTTTCCCTCGTGGAATTGATGTTAACTCAGAAGCTACATTACCTACCTATGCAGTGCAGGGGCCTGAGGTTGACAATGTCGGTAACGGATCAAGAGCTTTTCAGAGAGTTGGAGGATCATATGCTATCCTTCCCATTTCAGTTTCCTTTGGTATGCTAGTTTTGAGAAAGCTTTTCAAGCTAAAAGAGGCTATTTAGTCTACTTTGTCCATTTGTAGAAGGTTGTTTCTTGGTTGGTTTTCTCTTTCAATTGCCGATTCTTGTGCTTGCTTGCTGAGTTTGAATGGTAATGAACTTCACTCTCCTGGATGTTGTCTGGAGGAATGGATCTCCCAAGTGATGCCTTGTTGGCCCGTGTCAGGCGTTTTCCATCTCTGCATAATAATTCCATGCCTAGTATCTTAGTGTATCGGAATCATCATTTGTAGAAGAACTTTAATAGTACAGTTCCGGGGATTTAGGGTTTAGGAAGAAAGCAAAGAAGGGGAAGACGTCATTATGGTTTCGAGGTCGAAATACTTTCGTCTTTGAGATTCCGAGTTTCGACTCGCCCCCTAACGCCACAATTGTGAAATGCCCATGCTGCAGGGTGTGGCAGGTTCAACCGTATGGCCGAAGATCACTAGGCTTCGGGGCAACTTGGACGACCTAAAATGATTCATATTTTATTGATAATTAATATGAGAAGACGGACTAAATCAGGTTTTGAGCTTTTAAATTTTTTATGCGCTGTAATAAAAAACAAGTATGGCTATACTCTATAGGGGCCAACTGGTATTGTTAATATACGATTCCGATTATCGTTTAAGGCGTGAAACCGCACACTGAGATCGAATGAATCAAAGGGTAGGCTCCCGTGAAGTACCGCGAAGAGGAAGGGCGTGAAAATGCACACAGAGAAGAGAAGCCACCACATCACTTCTTCTAGTTGGAGGAGGATCTGATTGAAGAAAAGAGATACAAATACCAAAGCATCATCTGTCGGGTTGCTTCCCTTCTCACGGTTCTCCAGGAGACACCTGTTCTCTTCTTCAAGCTGTGGACATTGCTTTGTCAGTTTTTAGTTCACGGAGAAGTAGTTTTGCTTTAGCAGCCAGCTCAAAGAAGGTAGGACTATGCAGACCAAGGGGCACATGGTACAGCTATGCTGTCCGATGAGACCACCCACCGTATTCCATTCAAGGCGAACTTCAGTTCAGAAAGCATTCAACTTTCTAGAGAGAGTCCCCAACCTAGTGGTTAATGACAACTCTCCTCTACCAGGAGGTTGTGGGTTCGAAACCCAGGTATAAAAACTCCTCTTGAACCGGTCAATTTTACGAGAATGGTTTACTGCTCTGCGTAGTTTGCCGGCTACTGCACATGGCGGTGGATTTTCTCAGGTCCGCGATGTTGTCTAATGTCCGACCCGAAAGTTATAGGATAGACGTTTCTTATCGTAACAAAAAAAAACACTCGGCAAAAAAAAAATTGTTTTTTAAAGTTCTCTTACTGCGGAACCTGTAGAAACAAGAAGTCTCCGAATCGCTAAGAGTCTTTAGAGAAGCCCTCCCACGTGAGCAGAGGCTTAAGGGTTGGGCTGGGCTGGGCTGCTGGTTCGGTATTGTTGCTGATAATGTAAAAGCTGAAATCAGAGGCCCCACAGCGGTTGGCATCTGAAGCGAGAATTTTTCTGAATCCGGGCTCTTCTTCCTCTCTCCCAGTCGCCGTATTTGCCTCAGCGATGCCGGCGTTTCACGCTGATCGAGTTCATTCCTTTCGGTTTGTTTTTCGTTACGCTCTCGAAGATCCGTAGCTGGGGAATTTGATCCCTTTCGTCTTATCTGGTAATCATTCCCTCGATCACCTGGATTTCGAGCAATTTGTTCCTTTTACGTATCAGTCTTTGCTTTTGCCATATTTGTAACCTAAGCTCAGCAGGAGTGACAAGAAGGTCTCCTCCTGATACCCTTCCTAGGTACCCCCTCTGTTTCTCTTTCCATGCTTTTTCTTTTAGGGTTCATTGCTCTGCTTCTGTGCGGTTTTCTCTCGTTCTACCTCCGGCTGCTGACATTCCAAGTTTGCTTTTCTGATCATCTCCTACATCTATTAGTCGGTTGCATCCTTTCTGTGTGGGAAATTTAGCCGCTCCCGAAACGGCTAAAGTCCTCGACTTCTGGATCTATTTTCTATCTTGTTCTCAGATTAAATAAATAACAAACTACTTGCTTCCGGTGGAATTTGTCTCTAGTTCATACTAGTTCCTGTGGTGGTTTGCTTTGATGAAATGTTCGCGGATATACGCCTTCGTGCTCGCTTACTTTGCCCTTCTGCACGAAGGGCGATCCTGTCTTCTTTCTGCAGTAGACTTCACATGAATTTACTAATTCTGCCGAGCACTTCGTCGATAGGCACCGTTATCGCGTTCTGAAGCCTAGCTATGGCTCATGTTTTGTATGTTTTCTCCTTCTCAGAAATCGTGGTTCTGCCTTGGGTCTGATGGAACGACAATCTCAGCCTCAGGGATTATCCGGCGACGCAAATGTTTCTGGCCACCACACGGATGGCAATACAATGGGAGACTATGCATACCCATCCGCAGCATGTAATCTGTGTGGAAGAATCGTTCAATCTACTGAGCTTGAAATTTTTAGCTTATGTGGGGACTGTAAGTTTTTGTTGCTCGAAGATTCTGACAGTCCTGTGCATTACTCAAGTCGGAGGCAGTCAGCTAGAAGAAGTACGAGGAGGAGGAGGAGGAGAACTAGGCATAGCAGCTCTGAATCAATCGGAGATCTTCCCTCAGACCAATTTTCCCGTTTAATAAGCATTGCGCGGCAAAGCCTGTCAGTGGCACATGGACATGATGATCAACATGCTGATGGTGAGGGTGCTGCCGTGATACTCCAGCTAACTAGCTCCCATACGACTCCAAGTGGTTCTAGAAGGTGGAGAAGGGTTTTCTCTGATACCGAAAACGATGATTTTGGTAACTTTGATTCTCGTTATGGTGAAACTGAATCAAATACCAGTTTTTCTCAATCCAGGTTCTCACATGGTGATACCGATGCAATGTCTTTTAGTGCTTACGGTGGAGAATCTGATGCTTCCACAGACATATATGGTTTCCTGGACACCGAAATATTTGTTCAACCAGATGACCAGAGTGACATTGACTTTGATACTGATATTGACCCGATGCATGCTGGTTTGCACCAATGGAACTCGGATGAAGAAGATGGTGAATGGGAAGAGGCGGGTGCTGAGAATGGAAGGGCCATATTGGGTGTTGCCAGAATGAATAGTTTGGCGAGTCCAAGTGAGAGCTACAGCTCCATTACCCATAGTCAACGGTTTGATTCTCCAGAGTTTGAAAGAGAGATTCACCAGAGAACTGTGGAGAGTAGGCAGGTCTTATCACGGAACATCTTCAATGGTTTTGAGGATATAGATTTCTCTCCCTATGTTGCAAATGCTGGTGATTATCTAGATGAAAGAGGCTTTGAGGAATTGCTTGAACAACTTGCTGACTCTGACAACTCAAGAAGAGGTGCACCTCCTGCATCTCTGTCCATTGTGAGGAATCTGCCAAGGATCATCATCAATGGAGAGCAACTAAAGAAGAACAATGATGGCCTAGTCTGTGCAATCTGCAAGGAGTTTTTTGTTATCGGTAGCGAAACCACCCAGCTCCCATGTCTTCATCTCTACCACACTTGGTGTATCTTACCTTGGCTGAATGCACGTAACTCATGCCCCCTTTGTCGTTATGAACTTCCAACTGATGATAGAGATTATGAAGATGGAAAGCATGATGCCATTTCGCGTGGAATCGTGGATCAGGAGGATGCAAGCGAAGATAGCTCTTCTGGTGATGTCACTGAAGCAGAGGGAGAGACACTTGTTGAAAGTGATCCTGTACGTGGGGAGAGAGACGAGAGTGACTCCGGTGTAAGCAGAGCTAGGAGAGGAAGATGGTTGTTTCTGGCCGCTGCACCAGTTGTCAGCCTGGTCGGCATTGTATTGGCAATGTGGCTTAGCAACACACAGAGAAGAGAGTCAGGAAGCTCTCATGGCCAAAGAGGAAACAAGAGCAGAAGATGGCTGCCATTTTTCTGACTGATTTCTAGGCCATCCCGATTACCAACTGGTGATTAGTTCCACGGCTTGTCCATAGCTGTGGATCAACCCCCCACGACCAGATGTTTGTGCCATGTTGGTCAAGGTTTCAGAGTTTCGGTTTTTGTAACCATTTTTTCTTGATATTGCCTTGCCCGACATGGGGAATTGTTTGCTTGAAACTTCATGTTTCTTCTTGCGGTGCTTTGATTTTTGCTATCTTCGAGATTGATTCATATATGTTGTAATGTAATGTAGTGACTAACTAAAAGAAGGTATAATGCAAGTTTGTCTGGGTGTGGATGTTATTTCCAGAGCTGTGTTTGTTTTACAGAGACATCCACTTGGTCTAAAGCCTGAATGCGTGGTCTGTAGTGTCTAAGATCGGAACATCTGGTCGAGCAGAATAACAAGGGACATAGCGGTGGCTGTGTCAAGGCCAGGGTGGACGATGAGACGGAAGACATCGTAGCCGAGGTTCACTCCTCCGGCTGCCTCCTTGCTTCTCACCTCCGCCATCTTCCTCCTCTTGCCATCGTAGACCGTGCAGCATCTCTTCCCGTACGATCCTTCTACCTCGTACAGAACCGCT